CGTCATTGCAGAAAGGACCTAAAGGCAGGAGTGTGAGACAGCTAGCCACATTGCATCCCCAGGAAAAGATGAATGCTAAGGCTTAGCTCACTTTCTCCTTTTAATTTAGTATAGGACCCCAGCCCATGAGGATTGTACTACCCACATTTAGGAGAGTCTGGTAGCTTTGGAAACGAATCCTATTTTATTTCTTGCAGATCTGTAACAAGTTTGCTGTGATTTCTTCACATACAGATTCATGGGGCCACCTCCATGGTCAAGATAGAGAACAGTTTCCTCATAAGGATTTTGCATCTGCATCCACATTCCTCTACACCCACTTCTGACACCCACTGCCCTGTTTTTCATCCCTATAATTGTGTCATTTCAGGACTGTGAATGGGGATGTGCAATATGTACGTATGCTTTTTAAAACTGGTTTTGAGAATCATTGCAGTTCTCCAGAGTTCAACTAAGTTGAGCCTGTCAAAAGTTGCTGAGAATTGCTCCACACTGTACATATGCCTCAATGTGTTTAACCTTCCATCTGCTCTGCCATTTCATACATTCTGATATTCCATAGGAAACAGCAAATCACATCATGTGCAGTTTCATTTCTTTGGGATTTATTTCCCCAGAGGGCAATTGTTAGTCATTTAGTAATTATGTATTTAATCTTCTCGGAGACTGCCTCACTGTCTTGCAGAGTGGCTGGGCCATATCCGCACCAACAATGCATATGTGCTCCATTTTCTTACCAGTATTTGGCCCTGTTATTTTAACCATTCTGTTACATGTACACTGACATCTCATTGTGGCTTCAGTTTGCATGTGCTTATTAGCTAATGACATTGAGCATCTTCCTTAGGTCCTTATTTGTCATCTGTATATCTTCCCCAGTAAAACATGTTTGAGTCTCTTTATTATTTTCTAACTGGATAACTTCATGTGGTTAATTTTGCTTATTTGCCACTAACTTTGAAGATATCTTTGTATATCCTAGAAACCAGCAGGACATGGTTATCCAGGATTCAGTTCACAAATATTTTCTCCCTGTGTGTGGTTTATTATGGTGGTATATTATTTATGATTTATTAAAGCTTGCCTGAGGAGTCAGAAAAGCAAAGTCAGCCACAAGTTATAGAGATCAGACAGTGGTGACACACACCTTTAATCCCAGCATCCAGAAATGAGGAGGTGGTGGTGCACATGTTTAATCCTAGGACTCAGGGTTAAGAAGGAAGGAAATGGGTCTCTGCTGAGTTCAAGGCTACCCAGATCTACACAAGATTGAGCCAGTCCTAAAGAAAAACAGCCCCCACAAAGATGATCTCAGCACCTTGGATCATATGCCTTTAATCCCATCACTAGAGAGTTATAAAAGATAGGAGCAGGGTCATCAATAGTATCAGGCTTTCATTCTCCAGCCACACTGAGGATAGGAAGACATTGAAGTCTCAGGATTTCCCAGCCACATTGAGAAGAGCATAGCAGTCTAGGATTTCAGTCTGAGCTTTGGTGGAGCCAGGATCCCCCTTTCAGCCTGAGCTAGAGGTGAGAGCTAGTAGCTGGCTGCTTTGCTTTTCTATCTTCAGCTTGAAACCCCAATATCAATCTCTGGGTCTTTTATCGTGTTACAGTTTATCTTATTATCATCTTGTGCAATCTCCAAGAGTACACATTTTTCATTTTGATGTTAAGTTTATTAATTTTTCATTTTATGAAACATGGTCATGATGTTAAGTCTCTCATAGGTTTTTTTTTTTTTTTTTTTTTTGCCTTACCTGGGCCAGGAAGATTTTATTTAGGGCCCAGAAGGAATGATACACACCTGCAATCCCAATGCTTGGGAGGCAGAGGTAAGAGGCAAGAAGACCAGGAGTTCAAGGCCAATCTTGTTTACATGGTGATCTAAAGGTCAATCTAGAACTCATAGTAAAACCCTGTCTCAAGAAAGTAAAGAAAAAGGAGCACTTTTCTAAAGGTTTTATGATTCTATTTCATATTTATGTCCATGCTCTGTTTAGATTTAATGTTTGTATAAGGTATGAGTGAATGGATATTCCTATGACCAAATCGTATTTTACAGATGGAGAAACCCAGAGAGATCTGGGGGAAAATAAATAAAAATAAAAATAAGGCCCAATAACTGCTAAGGAGAAAAAAAGCCAGCCACTGATGTTATTATTAATCGTCTTCCCTCCCCTGCCCTCTTCTCTTTCTCTCCTCCTTCTGGTGCATATGCCCCCAGCTTCCTGGATGCAGCCCTCCCCTCAGCACACAGGCTGAGGGTGGAGCCTGTCAGAACACATCTAGCATGCCCTCTGCAACATGTTTTCAGGGTAGAGGCTGGAGACAAATGGGGCAACTTCCCTGTATTCAGATGGCTTTGTTATTGGTTTGGTGAAAGGCTCCATTGGATTTCAGCTGTGCTCAGATTACAACAGGACTGCTGGACCACTGCACTGACACACGACTTTTGCACTCATGCTTGACCTTGGTCACCGTGTACCCAGGAAGGCTTCTTTCTCCTACAGTTTACCCAAAGACCCTTAGACTTTGTCCTGACCCACATTAGAGAGACCAAAGGAGGAACACATGTACTATAGCTGCCATAGACAAATACTTCACGCTTTGCCTGATGCCTCAGTACAGCTGGCCTGTTTTAACAGGTGGCTCAGCGTTAAAACCTTAGATCCAGCCAGGCAATGGTGGTACACACTTTTAATCTCAGCACTCGGGAGGCAGAAGCAGGTAGATCTCTGTGAGTTTAAGGCTTGCCTGGTCTACAGAGCAAGCAAGTTCAGGGACAGGTTCCAAAGCTACAGATAAACCCTGTCTAGAAAAAAACAAAAACAAACCAAAACACAACAACAAAAACTTAGCTCCAACAAGTCCATATTCCTTTCCCTTGGTGAGAAACTCACAGGGTTGTTTTATTTGAGGTCCTGGCAGCCTGCTTGAGCCCTGGCTGTCTGTCCCCTCTTCCGGGGAGGGGAGGGAGAGGAATGAATGCTTCCTTAGTTTTCCTGTAGGACTCTCAACACAGCACTGAAGGCTTCCAGGGTTCTGCTTTTCCTGGAGATCCCCTGCAGGTGTGACTGGGAACTGCCAAACTGGTTCCTTCCAGGAATCTAAGTTGGTCTTCCAAATGTTTGTTGGAAGAGGCCCAGGTCAGAGTGAGATTTCTTCCAGGGCAGGGAGCCATCAAAGTTTCCAGTCTCCACGTTTACTCACTTAGACTCCCGGCCTCCCGGTTCTCTTCCTCTGTCTCTCACACTGGGATGGGTTATCTTTCAAGTCACCCAGGTTCACAGGAAAGGAGAATGCAGGCAGGAGAATGTGCTCCAGAGGCCCTGCCTTGGTCCAGCCTAAATGAGCTGGAGCCTTCCCTCTGACATCATTTCAAGACCCTGCTCTCTGTAATGATTATCTAAATTATTCTATTATTAGTTAAAATTCGGGAGCCAAATAGGAGGGTGTGAGCCTGGTAGATCCAAAAATCGAGGGAGAAAAGCCCAGCTGATCCTTCTCTCTGATTTTCCAAGATCCAAAAGAGGCCCACCTCCTAAACCCATACTTCCTCACCCTTGGGTCCCTCTCTTCCCATCTGACTCCTCCAAAATCTCTGTTATGCTGATCAGCTGAACATGGACTCTGTCCTCCAAATCAAGATTCTGTTTATTGACAGTTTCAGGGGACTGTCAAACAAATTCCCCCAAACAGCTCTGAGTGTAGCCATCCCTCACCCCATCCCTGCCCCCTGTCATCTCCACATTCTTCCAGGGAGCACCATCATTTCCTTCCCTTTCTCCTACATCCTTAAAAGGCTGCCACTCAAGCACTACTACACCCAGCCCATTTCTCCAGGAACCAAGGGATCTGGGTTTGAGTATCAGTCACCACTTAATCTGATAGCTATGTGGAATGGACTGTTTTCATACTCAGTTCTCTCATCTGTAAATGCATGTTGATATCATAACACTGTTGTGGATTTAAACAAGAAAATGTCTATAAAGTACACATTGAGGCAAACAGCCACTGATCCTGGAACAAAGCTAATGTTCAGGTGATAGTGGCCATGCCTGGTCTCCATAACAACTGTCTCCAAGCCCAGCCTTCAGTCCTTAATCATTCATTCCAGAGAGTCCTTGTAAGATATCACATCATTGAGGGAACAAGTTGCCCAGCTCCCACCGAAACCGCCTTTACCTTTCCATTTCCCAGGAGCCCAGTGAACTATGGTAGGCACCAGAGGTTCCTATAGACTTGGGTACACGATGGAGCATTTCCTTCTCTGCTGGTGGACTCTTCATACTTGAACTTGATCACTCTTCAAGTTCCCTGTGGGCTTCAGCCCATCTGTCCTGCTGCAGGTGAGGTAGTACCTGCCTGCTGTCCTGGCCCGGAAGCATCTGTCTCTGAACAGTGGCCTGTAGACAGGAGGGAATGCTCCTTGAAGACGAAGTCCAGCTGTAGCCCATCTCTGCTCCAGCTGACCCTGCTGGCTGACCTCAAGGATGTGAAGACTAGTTAGCAAACTAACAATACTAGTGAGGGAAGCCATGAACTAGTCAGATTCAGACCGAAAAAACTCCATGGCATATTCTGCACCTCCTGTTTGCCAGGTAGAAAGCAGGCTCAGATCTCATCTCTCAAGAACACCAAGTTCTCTGTAGAGGTGTGGCAGGAAAATAAAACCAGTCTGCTCCCATTTAACACTGGGCCATGATGCCAGGCGAGCCTCTCAAGCTGCACTTTGATTTCCGGCTTCAGGTACAGCTCTGCCCTTCCCTAGCTCTGCTAGGTTGAGTTAACCTAGACTGAGGAAGACAAAGCTACCTCAAAGGGACACTCCCACTTCTAGGACTAACTTCCTCCCTCCCTTTGGCAGCCTCAGGCTCTGGGTTGGCTGGGTTTCCCCACCTTGGCTGGTAGAGGAGGGAGGACTGGTCCATCTAGTCATTCTCACCCTCCCAGACCTGAAGAGCAGGAAGCTGCCCACCCAGCTTGCTGTCACAGTAATGTAAGGTGCAGAGGTACTTGGGAGCCTGTGGAGCCACACAGGACCAGGAGGCCTCCAGACCCTATGGCAGTCAGCCCCTTGGAGCAGCGGCTGGGCAGCCTCACCATCTTCACCCGAGATGAGTTTGAGGATGAATGGCACCGAGTAGCCAGTGGTGGCTTCAGCCAGGTGTTCCAAGCAAGGCACAAGCTCTGGAGGACCCAGTATGCCATCAAGTGCTCCTCGTGCCTCCAGAAGGAAACCACCAGGTAGCTGACAGCCTGCTTCCACAGAGGAGAGCCTGAGGCAGAGAGAGTTTTGGGTCTAGGGAGCTCAGAGGATGGGATGAGCTGGGGCTGAGGTTGGCAATTGTCTAGGCGCTTTTAAATGGGGCCCTGTGATCTGAATTCCCCAGACTAGGCTCTTTTTCTGAGCCCACAATACAAGTAAATAATACCTGCTTGTTAGTGTCTCAAGAGGTCAAAGGTGAGTAGGAAACTACCTTACAAAGAAACACCTTTGTCTGTCTGGCCTCTCGAACTGTGTGATGATGCTCAGACATACTCCTCTGCACCCATCTTTTCTGGACAGGGCTGTTTTCCAAGGAATATGACATTTTGTTCAATGACCTGTAAGTGATCACCTTCTTTCTTTCTGTGCCAGTCACTGTAGACTGGAGAGGACTGGAAGCTGGGCACTGCCCCAGTAGGACATCATCCGGTAGCTGTTACCACACTACTGGCCTTCCACAGGGGATAAACTGAGGGCAGGACCCACCCAAGCCACTTGCCAGCCAACATAGGTCCTGCTGGAAAGTCAAGTCTGTTTTGGACCCTGGCTGTCATAGTGTGTGTTACAACCATGCTTTTCCTGCCTCTGGCTTTACTGACTGTGTATTCTTGCTATGTGCTTCTACCTTACAGTCAGGAAGGAAACATCTGGGAAGTTAGACATTGGTACGAAAACATGTCCTCCCATAAAGCATCTTGGGACATCAACTGGAAACTCAGTGACTATTACTTACATGCCAGCTGTTATGTTTTCTGAGCCTTGACAGTGTTCCCCAACAGTAGATTTTGTACTAGCTCTTCTCTGCACAGAGTATTCTGCTTTGGAATAGGGCCAGACAACTCTGAGAACTGTGTATCGTTTTTGAAAGGAAGAACATGAGGAAAGAGGGTGAGATGGCTTGGCATATAAAGGCATTTTGCAGCCAAGATTGATCCCCAGTACCTGCATGGTGGGAGGAGAAAACTGACTCCTGCAAGTTGTCCTGTGACTTCCACACCCAAACATATGAATGGTGACACATGCACATTCATACACACACGCATTGAAAGAAATATATTAATAAATAGAATGAGGAAGTGGATGGCATTCACATGCCTATATTGTAACTATGATTACAAAAACAAAAACAGGTTTCTTTCCTAAGTTCTTAGGAATGAAAAGGAAAAATCAAATTATTAATAATTATAACTAGTGTGTGTTATGTGTAGATGGCTATATTTGGAGCTTTGTGACTATTGCTGTATTAGATTCCCCATCCATCCATCCATCCATCCATCCATGTGATGAAGGCTAATTTGTTCTCAATGGGCCCAGCACTATACTGGACCCTGAGAGGAAATGACCAGTGCAGTAGACATGTTACCACTCTCTGGAGCTTGCAGCTCAGAGGGAGAGAGACATTAACCACATAATCTCTGACACACACAGGGAATGAATGGTTTATGGTCTGTCTTTTGAGCTCTTCCTGACAGAATTTGCCTGAGATCAGAAACCCTTCTCTGAGAAAGCTACCCTGGAGCTGAGATGTGAAGAATGAGTGTGACTTAAGTAGATGAGGAGAAAGTTTGCATGCAATGGGGATAAAAAGGACCTGTGACAAGAGGGACACAGTGTGTACAAAAATAAGGAAAGGGCCTTACAGCTGGAGTTGAGGACATGAAGGAGCAGAGAAAGATATCCTGAGGGGTTTTCAACCAGGTTGGAGAACAAGTGTGGAAAGGAAGCAATCCAATGTATCCAATGTGCAGCTTTCAGAATGGACTAGAGGTGTAGAATGGATGCTGTTCTTGTTAGGAGACTCATGTCTTCAGGCAGATGATGATGACACAGACTATCTTTCTTGTAGTGGAGATGGCATGAAAGGGAGGGAGGTAAGGAGTAGCATGACCTTGTTCTGCTGCTAGCTGACTGTGGGAAGCACAACAAAGGGTGCTGAGGTCTGCTTGGCATGCCAGAGGAAGACAGGACCCACTAGAATATCACTCTATGACAACAGGAGCTCATGTTTAGTTTGCTCACTGCTAGTGTCTGCTACATCATTATTGTTAAATTGATATATGTTAAATGATGGTCTTGGCATAAAAGAGGTCATGAATCCCATGTGTGAGGAGGACATATGCTGAGCATAAGATGCCCTTCAGTCAAGCATATGTCAGAGTAAAGACTGGTGCTTACATTATTAACGTTCACACGCTGTATGTTCTAGGTAGTAATTGAAGCCAGGACAGAGACAATATCATCCATTCTAAACCTTAAGTGAATAAACCCAAGAACCCAAGCCCCTGCCCTCATGGAGCTTCGATTCTAACAGAGGAAACAATGAGTAGATAAACAAATACAATTTTTATTTATAGTACTTAGGACTACTGGACACTTTCTTGACTGATATACCTAGGAGAGTTGAGTAATGGGATCACCAAGAATAGATCTGGTCTGGACATATTAATCTGTGGGTTACCAGCATGGACAGGGATGAAGGTAGATGCAACTGAGGCAGAGATGCCATTTATACAGGCTTGTTTGAGACAACAGTTAGGGCAATCTGAGTTATGTTTGAAGCAGATAAATGGTCAGGGCGTGAGTGAAGATGTTCTAGGCAGAGGAAACAACACAGGCAGAGTTCCTGAAGGGACAACACACTTGGCATGTGGGCTGAGAAAGAGGGATGGGTTAGGAAGCAATGAGGTCAGGGAGCTGTAGCAGGATGAAGGTGAGGAGACCACAAGGACCTTTGTTAAGCTTTGAGAGGCCCTTGTCTTCAGCTCTGAAGGAGAAGAAACCATTGGATGGCTCCTGGGAAAGCAGTGATGTTTTTGGGTTTTTTAGGGTTTATTTTTTATTATATATGTGCATGAAGATTGGGTATGTGTACATGAACCCAGGGGTCTACAGAGGCCAGAGGCATCATATCTGACTGGATCTGGAATTACAGATGGTTGGTTGTGAGCCACTTTTAATAGGGGTGCTTGGAACAGAACTTGGATCCTCTGAAAGAGCAGTCTGCACTCTTAACTGCTGAGTCATCTCTCCATTCCATACTATGTACATTTATATTTTAAAATATTTATTTGGAGGAAGAAGTAACAGTAGAAAGGCCACTTAGGGCATTTGGGCTCAGAGGCAAATGGCAGGGATAGCAAGTAGCCAGATCCTTGCTGTATTTCAATGATAGAACTGGTTGTGGGAATGAAGTAAGGGGTCAAAGAGGAATCCAGGACCTGTCTGAGGCCTGGAGGATGGTGCACAAGACAGTCTTCTGGAAAGATCAAGAGTCAAGCTTCAGATGCATGAAGTATCAAAGCAGCGAATGTCTGATGATGCTGATCATGACCAGAGAAATTGGAATGTGATGTGGGATGAGTAGAGAGCCTGGAATAAGTGTAAGGGCTCAGCATTCTAAATTAGCAAAGGAAACTGAAAAGGAAAGCTGCAGGGGAATGTGGACAAGGCTGGTATCAGGGAAGAGAGATTTGGACTGCCCACTGAGAGCTGGGGCAACAGGAGCTGAGGCCAGCAAGTCAGAAACCCACTGAAGAAGTCTGGGTGTGGCTGGGAGCTGTGTGGGGCACTATTCTCATTCTGCATGTTAAAACCAAGGCCCAGAGAACCCTGTCCAAAGTCATGCACATCTCAAGTGATAGAACTAAACCTTGAGATCAGAACAGTGTTACCTAAAGTCCCCAGAATTTGTCCACTTTGAGGCAGACACACATGGGTTTCCACATACCCAAGGGAAAGAGAGAGAAAGGTAAAAACACCCCCAGAGCTGTCAGGAAGACGTCTGGACTAGCAGAAGGGCTGGATGAGGCAAACCATGAAGTAACTAGCTGCTCAGATTCCTGGAGGATGGTAGATGTTCCTAGAGGTCAGACCCTCGGGCTGGTTTCCCAGGGTGACCCTGAGAGCATATTGTAAGCTGTCAGCAGCATCCTACTGCAGCATCAGAATAGCTTCACAGATACCTTGCCTTTTTTCTTTTTCTTTTATTTACTGCCATTCCTCCTTAATCCCTATCCCTGCAATTCCCCAACAGTCTCTTGCAATTTGCATATTTACAGTTCTGTGGGCACACACAGGGAAGTAGGGGGGAGGACCTGCCATGCTTGTTTTACAGGGCTTCCCCTTAAGTCTTGACTTCAGTTCACTTCCACAAAGATAAACTGTGCAATGCATGGCAATGGGTGGGGGTGGGACAAAGAGTACTGACTGTAGTTCATCCATAACATGAACTACCCTGCATCCATTAAAGACCATGCTTCAGGAGAATAACAATTCAGAGAATCGACAGAAAGGAGGGAGGGGCAAAAAGGAGAGAGAAAGGGAAAACGTCATAAAAGACCATACTAAAATGTTAGTCAAGGCCAACTCTGCAAGGTCAGATTACTGGCGGTTTAATTTTCTTTTCTACAGCTCTCTGTATCTACTAGGTTTTCCACGAGGTGCATGTATTATTTTCATAATCAAAATGGTAATAGATGTTATTTTAAAACAGAAGTATGAAGCATAATACTGGTCTTCCAGGGGCTCAAAAGCTGCCAGGGGAGATGAACATGAAAGCAAGTGGGTAGGATAAATGGCAGGCTGTGTTCCAGGCTTTTTATGGCTGGCTCTGCAGGATGGATGGACTCCCAGGCCTGCACACCCCTTGCCTTTTCACTGACAACTGTTTGAGCCCCAGTCCTGGCTGCCTGGGGAATTTCTACAGTCTCTCACTTCTTCTCTACTACTTTACAAGCTTCTGAGGTTTCTCTGGGTCTCCTCAGCCTGCATTATGCTCAGTTGGTATGTTCTACCCGTAGCTCACGTAATTAGTGTTTTTCTTTCTTCCATTTCATTCCTGCTTCTCCTCAGCTCTGAGATGAGTTGTCTCTTTGAAGAAGCCATCAAAATGGAAAAGATTAAGTTTCAACACATTGTGTCCATCTATGGGGTATGCAAGCAGCCCCTGGGCATTGTGATGGAGTTCATGGCCAATGGTTCCCTGGAGAAGACATTACCTACCCACAGCCTCAGCTGGCCACTCAAGTTCCGCATCATCCATGAAACCAGCTTGGCCATGAACTTCCTCCACAGCATTAAGCCACCCCTGCTCCACCTAGACCTCAAACCAGGCAACATCCTGCTGGACAACAATATGCATGTCAAGGTAAGGGCTCTCTGGTGATGTATGCTAGACCTCTTCCATGTAGCAGGGTTGTCTACCTAGACAACTCAACTCAAGAGTTTGAGCCATTTTCTGTTTGGATAAATAGTAAACACATGGGTTGTACCTGAAACAGTCATGTGTAAGCAGACAACTTTGGGAAATGAGACTGGGGGTTGTGGTACCCACAAAAATGCTCTTCTAAGATTGATAGAATAATCTCTACCCCTCATATTCTTTGTATGGAGCATGGATTTGTATAAAGAGGATTTTTATTAAGTCATAATGGCCTTTCTCTTTAGTGCTCAAAACCATCAATCTTTTCTTTGTCTTCAAGAGCCTTGCACATTCTGTTCCTCCAACCCTCTCTTTATCTAAAAAGTCTTAATCATATCACAGCTCTCAGATTGGTCATCATCTCCTTGGGGAGAACTTTCTTAATCTATCTCAACAGGGCCTTTGTATATACTCCCATTATACCTTTGTTACTTCCTTTTGCTGACCCTAGTTGCAGTATATAAGCATTCTACAAAAATTTTTTTTAGGTTAAGCAAAGTTGAATAATAGCTTCTTGAAGTGAGGAAAGGGTCTCAAAAGTGAGTAAAACTTGTTATTAATGTATGTACACTCTATCTGAATACCCACCCATCATGATGGTATGTGGTTTAAAGAGGTGTCTCTAACCCCATCTCATTGTCCCTTAATGAATGGTAAATGGCAGTCCAAAAGCAGAGAAAGATAAACACACTGTATGTTGTTAGTGTTCAAGGACCCATGAAGATGTAAAGAACAAGGCCCCTGGAGAGATAATGGTTTTCATCCTATAGATGAGAAAGCCGGGGCTCTGGGAAGATGAATAACAGGTTTAAGATCATCTAGGGAGTGGGTGGTAGAACTGGGAGACAGTGACATTGAAAATCACATGTGCTATACTAAGTAGCATATACTGATAAGGGCAGTGGGGAGGAGCCACAGATGGCTTCTAGAAGGTGTTTGTTGCTACCTTGTTCATGGCATCTGGCTTTCTTCCAGATTTCAGACTTTGGCCTGTCTAAGTGGATGGAGCAGTCAACCCACATGCAGCATATTGAGAGATCGGCTCTGCGGGGCACACTCAGCTACATCCCCCCTGAAATGTTCCTGGAGAACAACAAGGCTCCAGGGCCTGAATATGATATGTACAGGTGAGTGGGCAGCTGGACTATGTCATATGGACAGACTGGGGTCCCTATGGCTAACAGGCAGGTCAGGACAAGGATCAGGACTGGTCCTCCACATGCTGATGGAAGGGGAAAGGCAAAGAGGACCTGGAGAGGCTTCACCTGGGATTGTAGAGAATTTGGGGTTCCCCTGGCTAGGGATCATGGACATTAGATTAAGTCTCTCATCTAATATATTCCCCATTACAGCTTTGGGATTGTCATCTGGGAGATTCTCACTCAGAAGAAACCATATGCAGGTAACAGACGATCATGGCTCCATGCCTGTGGGAGGCTGAGGTTGGAGAACACAAGAGGAATAATGGGTTGTGTGAACCATAGTGTGAGCACCTCATGGATTTCTGTATTACTCTGCTTTCTCTAGTCCACAAATATTAGTGCTTATATAATAGTGAGCAAACATCAGCCTTAACCTTGTTTCATAGATCGAATACCCCAAGTTCCTTGTACTTTAAAATGTATAAAGCTGAAGCCTTTCCCCAAGCCTGATTGTCTGTTCTGCTGCCTTTGCACAGAAAAAGTAGGGATCAGGTTGAGTCTTGGCTAGAGCTGGACCAGTGACTCAGCTGCTCAACTGGAGCTTCAAGTAGATCCCAGACTCAGCTGCCTACTCCCTGATGTATAGGGCATCTGCTGCATCCACATCCTGTCAGGACCCTCCAACCTTCCACCCACTTGCTAGCCCTAGGTTCTCACCTTTTGAAACCTGCACAGCCTGGATCTTCTCTTATAGGACTCAATACAATGACCATCATCATCCGGGTAGCTGCAGGCATGAGGCCCTCCTTGCAGCCTGTCTCTACTGAATGGCCAGGGGAGGCCCACCAGATGATGGACCTGATGAAGCGCTGCTGGGACCAAGACCCTAAGAAGAGGCCATGCTTTATAAGTATCTACCAACCATTCCATGCCTAGGAGCAAGAGAGAGAGGGACAGGAGACAACCTTAGCACTAGAGCTCAGAAAGATGAATGAGGAGACATTTTCAGGGTGAGGCTGGGAGGCTCTGATATGCACAGCTGAGGATGGAGTTTATCATTGTTCACAGTGTGCCTAAAGGAGAGCGAGTCAGCAAAAGGAAGCCATAACATCTGAGCCTGGTCCTGCCACTGAGCTCTGTAGCTATCTCTGGAGACTTTGAATACTGTACAGTCTATAAGGTCATAGGCTGGAAGAGATGAGGTTATTTTGTCCTCTAGGGACAACACACAGAGTGGTGAGCATCTTAGCCATCATCTAGTCCTTACCTTCTCTTTCGGTGAAAAAAAAGACTTACTGGGGGGAGGGAGTGTCACTGACTTGCCAAGTATACCCCAACCATGTCAAGAGTAGGGCTCAGTTTCCTACCTCATTATGGGCATATGGGGACATACATGAACTTAGTAATGTGTTTAAGAGAACTCAAGAAATAGAAAATTATCTAATAGGTACTGAACACACCATTGAACTTGCCTGTTACCTCTTTTTTCTCTACCCCTAATCCTTGTGGAACAGATGTGACCATTGAAACAGACATGCTGCTGTCTCTGCTCCAGAGCCCTATGGCAGACCCTGAGTGTGAAGCTCTGGTCCGGAAGGTGTCTTGTAAGCCATCACTGAGCCAGCCCCACAAGGTGGATATGGCAGGCTGGGCAGGCCACTATAGGGATGCTGGAAGCCACTGTGTATCATCAATAGTCTCTGTCTAGTCTGGGAATAGGCAATGGGTGTCATTTACAAGGCTGCTCTACTGCTGAGGGTAACATGGGAACTGTAAGCCAAACTAGCTCACACTTAACTCTCCAACCCAGGGAGGCTAGGTTGGGGATGCCAGAATCCATAGGGGAGGACACAGTTCCTTATTCACCCAACTGTTCTCTAAAGGACATGGTGTTGTTGCTTAGAGCCCCTGGGAAGGACCTTACCCTACACTATCATGCTGTGGATGTCAGCATCATCCTTCAAGTCTCCTGTCCCTACTCTGACATGGGAATTGTCAGGGACAATTGGAGGGTTCCAGAGATATAGCCTGAAGTCTCTAAATGAAGAATAAGTTCCAGAAATTCTCTGCTTAGTGATTTCTTCTAGACATGTGCTGGTATAGGTAGCATGTGCTGGTATAAGTAGGTTTCCCAGGAAAGGTAGGATGTGAACATTGACAGACAACACAAAGCACTGGAGAAAGGCAGTGAAGACCAGATCTGATCCCTGATGACCCACTCTGTACATGCCTTCCCAGGTCAGCGATGAAGTCAACCAGGAGCTTTCACACAGTGGTGAGTTTGCCTGCTGAGATGGAACCAAAGACTCCACATGGAGGGAAGGGTGGGTCTATCCTTTCTCTCTGCTCATCCTCCTTGTGAGATGGGACCAGAGATTCCACATGGAGGAAAGGGTGGGGTCTATTTATTCTCCCTGTTCATCCTCCTTGACCCTCCCTCTTTCACAAGCTTACCACACATCAGGGATGGTCCAAAACACCCAGGTCCTTGGAGTTTCTCCTTCATGTTTGTGTCATTAAAAGATTAGATTCCTGTTTCTGTCATGAGAGATAGAACACTGGCTCTCAGTATTGGCTTTGTGTTAGGCTTATTTGAAAACATGAGAAAAAAATGTGTCTAGTGTCTACCCCATACAAATTAGAATCTGTAGGGGTTGGGCCTTGGCAGTGATCATTATTTAGTTCTCATACACAGTAGATGGAGCAGGAGGAGGTGAGGCCTGGAGGTCTTGTATCACACAAGCCCAAGTTCTAGTGCCGTTTTTATTTTCACAGCCTGCCTTCCTCTTGGATCCTTCTCTGAACATTCTTAACCACCTAATCTATCTCGCCACTGGTAAAATGAGCAAATATTGTTCACCTTCCCTTTAAATGGCTGGATATGGAGGCTCAAAGAGGCCAAGAACTATCAGGAGCCAGGGGATGTTCAGCAGTAGAGTGGGGATTTTAATCCAGGCCTCCTGGCTCCAACTCCATCCTGCCTTCTCTGTAAAACCCACGGGCTCCAACCTCTAACAGAATCAGTGACCCTTGATACCATGAAAGCCATTGCCCTCAGGTCTAGGCTGTTCCTGAAAAGTGTCTCCTGGAGGCAGGGGAATGTATAAAGTGACCTGTGATCAGGTAATGGTCTAGTTGTTGTTTGTTTTTGTTTTTATCAGCCTATCCCTTTATCTTAGCAGGCTCAGGTGACTCCTTGAAGTGGATCCTACAGCTCTCTGACAGCAAGAGCTTGGTCCCAAGTGACGAAGAACTACATGTCTATGAGAACAAAGTGACTCCCCTCCACTTCCTAGTGGCCCAGGGCAGCTTGGAACAAGTGAGACTTCTGCTGTCTCATGAGGTTGATGTGGACTGCCAGACAGCCTCCGGCTATACACCACTCCTCATCGCCACCCAGGACCAGCAGCCTGACCTCTGTGCCCTGCTCCTGGCACATGGTGCTGATGCCAACCTGGCAGATGAGGATGGCTGGGCCCCATTGCATTTTGCAGCCCAGAATGGGGATGACCACATTGCCCGTCTGCTCCTGGACCATGGGGCCCTAGTGGATGCCCAGGAGCACGAGGGCTGGACCCCACTCCACCTAGCTGCACAGAATAACTTTGAGAATGTGGCGCGGCTTCTGGTCTCTCGACAGGCTGACCTCAACCCTCGGGAGACTGAGGGCAAGACGCCCCTCCATGTGGCTGCATACTTTGGCCACATTGGTCTAGTCAAGTTGCTGACAGGACATGGGGCTGAGCTAAATGCTCAGCAGAGAAACCTGAGGACACCCCTGCACCTGGCAGTGGAGAGGGGGAAAGTGAGAGCCATCCAACACCTGCTAAAGAGTGGGGCATCCCCTGATGCCCTTGACTATGGTGGCTATAGCCCACTGCACATTGCTGTAGCCAGGGGCAAGCAACTTATCTTCAAGATGCTTCTCAGATATGGGGCCAGCCTTGAGCTACCCACACAACAGGGATGGACACCCCTACACCTAGCAACTTACAAGGGCCACGTGGAGATCATCCATCTGCTGGCCAAGAGCCATGCAGACCTGGATGCTCTTGGAAGTATGCATTGGACTCCCCTGCACCTGGCTGCCTTCCATGGAGAGGAGGTGGCGGTGTTGGCACTGCTACAGGGTGGGGCCAACCCCAATGCTGCTGAACAATCAGGCTGGACTCCTCTCCACTTGGCAGTGCAGAAAGGCACCTTCCTGGGTATCATCCACCTTCTAGAGCATGGTGCTGACGTCCATGCTTGCAACAAGGTGGGCTGGACACCTGCCCACCTGGCTGCTCTCAAGGGCAACACAGCCATCCTCAAAGTGCTGGTCAAGGCTGGTGCCCAACTGAACATCAAAGATGGAGTTGGCTGCACACCTCTGCAGCTGGCCCTCCGCAACCAAAAACAGGGGATAGTGACCTTCCTGGAGGGCAAGGAGCCTTCACTAGCCATTCTGGGAGTTTCTGAACCTGGATCCCAGACAGAAGTTTAGATAACTTCCAGGCCTCTGCCTGGAAGGGGAAAGGTTTGTGAACATGAAAGTGGTTGGAGAGGCCATTTCCCACCTGCCCATTTGACCTTGAGAGGAACCAGTGTCCTAGGTAGTGGAAGGAAGTGGTCCAGTGAGGTTGTTCTAGTAAGGCAGGAAAGCTGCAGAGAGCCAGGAAAACTGTTCCCAGCTCCCTTCCAAGTCATCTCCAGGCCATCCTTGCTCTTTCTTCTTTTCAAATAAGCTCATGTGCCTGTGATAAGCTTCTCTCCAGCCTCAAGACCTCAGTAACTTTTTGATACTTGTCTCTCGAGTAATGGAGCCCTTGCATCCCAAGGAACACCCCCAAAATAAAGACCTAGAGCTCCTCTAAGCTCCAATTTTGCATTCTAGGTGCTTCACCTTAGACTGGGTCAAGAGGGTCAGACACTTGCTTTACATCAGGAGCATGAACTTGGAATTCAAAGGATATGTCTGCTCACTGTTAGTCTCAGCCAGGCTCATGTCACCATGATGACCATAGCTTCTGGTGGCACTAGTCTCAGTCAATGGTATCACATATATTGGCAATGATGGAAGGATGTGCCCAAAGTGCAGATATGTGTTCATCGCTGGGATGACAGTTTCCTGTATCCAATCCCATGTTTCTCCGTGCCCATTTATATGGTCAGGTTCCAAACTCCAGAGTGGATAAAGCTGCTGATCACATTCTCCCAATTAGACATGGATCAGTTGGGTACCCATTGGGGCCAGTGGGGTTAATGTGGCTTATGTATGAATGTAGTGTCTAATGTGTTGTATGTGTGCATAATATATGTGTGTGAGAGCTCACAAGGGAAGAGAAAGGGCAGCTGAGGGGAGTTGGGTAGCTGTGTGTGTATGCATATGTCATTTGTCTTGTGTGGTCCATGTGCTTATATAATACCTGTATGTGAGCTTATGTGAAAATAGATAGGGCAGCTAAGAGAAATTGCAGATGTATGCATAATGCATGTATGCATATGAAATGCATCTGTGAAAACATGTGAGGGAGCAGGCAAGGTAGCTAAGAGAAAATGGAGGTATAAATGTTTAATACTTGTATGTGTGTGTGTGTAAATGCATGCAAGGGGGGAGGCAGTGCAGCAGAGAGGAAGTTGGTAGTGCAAGGGGGTTGTCTGGGCTTGGGGGTGGAGCTGCAATAGCTCCTTTATCAGCTCCTCAGAGAGCCGCTTTCTATGAACACAGATAGGCCACCCACCCATTGGTCTACCCATCAGTTGTGGGTAGATTGGGGAATGGCCAGGGCTGCTAATATCCAGCGTGTGTGTCGGTAGGTCTGGTTCAATGGTAAGTGAGGCAGTGGCTGTTAGAAGGATATGAGGAGAGCAGGTTTTCCCTTCTGCCTCCTCTTCCCATCATAATGAGGTGAACGATGGGGCAAAGGAGACTTGCTGTTCTATGTGGCGCCCTGCCTAGGGCATGGATTCATTTTGGCAACCCCACTTCCTCTATCCAGGCGTCTCTAGAACAGCTCCAGCTGGGCCCTGAACAGTCATGAAGCAGCCAATCATAAGCCTGGGATCAGCACTTGGCTGGTTTGTGTCCTCAAGAAGCAACTATCAGGCTAGTCTACACATTAGAATATCCTGATGAAGGGTTCTTTAAATATATCCTCAGTTGATTAAACCACAATCTGCAAGGCAAACCACAATGTGTGAGAGCACCATGACTCTAAAGTGGAGCAGTCAGGGCTTAGGATGACCACCAGGGGGCACACCCAAGGCACAGTGGAGTGGAAACTCCTGGCTCTGGGAACATCCAACAGATTGTTTATCCTTATTCTGTGCCAGCTGCCTAGTGTAATTATGATGATACCCCTAGTTCTGTCTCCTGAAACAATCAGTAGGAGGTGAGGGGCAGGTCTGTGTGCCCTTCTTGAACCCTAGAACACTGATGTAGCTCCAAGTCTAAAATTCCAGAACAGCCAGAGGAGATGCAGAAGCAGCATATTCACATTGGAAAAACCAAAGAAAATGGTGGCGATGGAGTCACAAGACAAGATAGTGTCTGTCTTATTACATAAGAAAGGGTGTTAGGGTAATCTTGAAGAAAGGCATTGGGGGGAAATACTTTGGCATTCATCCTGGTACATGGCAAAGGTGTTACAGGGGTGTGGTCGGGACTGTGCCAGTGAATCGTTTTGGCTCTGATGATCCTCAGATTCCTGCTTCCGTGAATCACTTCCTCTAAGAGCTAACAGAGGTAATAGTGTGGGCTCAGTCTTGAACAAGAGGGCATTGTTGTCTACTGTATTCTCAAGTTGCCCTAGACAGATACAACATTCTGAGCTTCATTTGGACACACCTGCCTTCTTAGTTATGTAGAAGTATTTTTGGTTGGGTTTAAGGGAGGTCCTTGAAATTGCTGGAAATAGGTCCCTAATGGGTTTCCACTGTGTTTAAAGTTTCTAATAATGGGAGTTTCTTACTGGACATTTCTATGTGGATGTCCTAGAGAACCCTTAAACTCAAATCAACCCAAAGTGTTCATTCCCCTCCCAACCACAAACTTGTTCCTTACCCCTTATCCATATCTTAGTTGAAGGTCTCCAATTTCCTAATCTAGGACTGGTATTTCCATCAGTACTGTAATGGAGGGAAGACATCTTTGGGATCTGCGTTACTTAGTAGGGTACCACTAGCTACTTGTGGGATTGAGTGCTTGATATATGGTAAGTGTAGATGAGAGATCAAGTTTTTAACGTCATTATATTTAAGTAGCCATATATGAATAAAATCAGCCTACGACCACCCCCTTTTTACCCCTTCTCTAGTCAGTTTCCAACTTAAGCATTAGGTTGATCAGAAAGAGCTACCTGAAAGGTGTCTCTGTAGAAGATGACACAGATGGAGCTGCAAAGGGCCAGAGGCCAGGCTTGGTAGAGGTGGAGGTATTCCATAAGCTCCAGAATGTGGGAGGGACAGACATATTTCTACAGGCAAACAATTTGATGTATTCCCAATGGGCAAGACTCGAATGTTTACCTTGAGTCTCACTGTGAGAGGATGAGGAGAGCTCCCATCTCTTTCCAGGTAAAGGATGGATAGATAGAGGCTGAGTGTCTAATACATTCCAAAGACCCCCGGAGCTGTGTGCAACAGGGAAGCTGGATGCTTTGGTGGGAAATTGGGGTTCCAGGCTACCACAGAGAATTTAGAGGTGGCCAACAAACCTGGGATAGAGTCTTCATTTTACACTTTATTAGCTGTAGGCTTTCCCTAGACATTACTGTTAGACAGGGACGCCTGTGGGTGCTTCAGCTTCAGTGTGTAGAAGAATTTTTGGATGTGAAGATGTTGCTGGATCACACAGCCCCAGCATGCACCAGCACTCACCTTCACTCTGTTCTCTTCTGTCTTCCAGCTCTTGTCCTTTCTTGTCAACATTGTTCCACTTACCTGCTCTTTCCTTATCGTGTACAGAAACAAATTCCTTTCCTATTCTAAACCTCTGCTAAGATGGCTTAGATCTGAAGGGAGCTATAGGGGACTAGAGACACCTATGGATGCATCCTCTAAGTACTTGCACCAGTCCTCTTGTCTCTTCCTCCAAAGCACCAGGAGTGTGTGTGCGTGCGCGCGTGCATGCATGCGTGTGTGTGTGTGTGTGTGTGTGTATGTGTGTGTGTGTGTACTCCTGATGTATGTGATACCAAACATTGACCTCAACTCAGGGCATCATGCATACTAGGCAAGCATGCTACCAACAGAGCTACACACCCAACAACTCCTATGCCGAACTTTTTAAAAATGAACTTGGGCTTTCTATGGCTCCACCAGGAGATAAAAAGTCTCTCTAGAAAGAGCAGCAGCAATCACCCTGGTCTCTGCTCTGGAAGACTCATGGGTAGAGTGAAGAATAGAATCTATTCTTATAAGGGTCTTCCCTGCCTCATCTATAGAGCTGAGATGAGTCACTTAGGTTTTCTTACCTAGAAGATACTGTATTTTCTTTCTACCAACTTCCTGCTTCACTTGGTATAGCAGAGTTATAGGCATGTGGTACACAAGAAAAGATGTTCAGAAACATAAAACACCCAGACTCTAGCGCTTTGCCATTGCTAACATTGTCCCCGCTCATTCTCCACCACCTGCTCCTGAACAGGAATAACTTTTGCATGGACCCTTGGGTACCATCCTAAAGGTCTGGTCTCACACAGGTTTTCTTTCTCTATCTAAAATAAAATATTAAATAAAAAATAACCCTGCCCATGTTAGTCACTTCACAGAATAGATGGCATAAGATTCAATCTGGGCTGTCACCCACCCAAGCACACCATCTCCTCAAACGAGTCCAGGGCACAGGAATGGCCCCTGGGACAGGAGGAGAAGACTACCAGGAAAGGCAGAGCCCAAAGATGCTCTGTACAGATAGATTATGAAGCCACAGATACAGACTGTGACCTTGCACCCAGGAGGACAGTGAACCATTTGGCACAGGGAAGAATGGGCAACAGCTGAGGGAAGCCATGTTGTCTCTGGGGACAAGGATGATCTAGTAATGGGCTCCAGGTATATGGGGACACTGGAAATAGGAGGGAAAGGAAATGGGGGAGGGAAAGCTCTGAGTGTTTCCTTCCCAAACCCATCAAGAGGAGCAGGGGCGGGGCCTTTTTGAAGAGCCAGAGCCTGGGATACCCCTTATTGCTAGGTGTTTTTGGATACCACTCCTCCCATCCCCTTGCTCCCAAGTGCTTAAGGGGGGAGAGGGTGGAGCCCAGCCCTCCCCCTGCCCACTCTAGCTGTCAATCTGCTGTCTGGAAGAAAGACTTGAAGCCTCCTGACAATTGTGGGCAACTCTCTCCTGCCCCGCCTCCCGCCCATTCCCTGCCCTCTTCCCCTCTTCTCTCTGACAGGATTCTTCTCTGATTGCTCTGGGGCTTGTCTCCCCACCCCACTTTCAGGGCCTCCCTTCCTCTCTCTCTGTCTTACTCTCTGTCTCTCATCTCTCTCTTTTATCTC